GGAGCTTGAGTTGTTTCACCGTGGGTCGTTGTTGTTCATCGACAATGTTGAGCAATCTCAGCAGCTGAGGTTTCTTCAAACGGTCGTAACAAATAACTCCACGTTCTTTAGCGATCCTTTCCAGTTCTCGAGCAATGAGCATTGTTGCTATATCCATATGCAAAGTCAAATCTCTAATAAGTTTGATTTTCACTATATTCTGATGCGAAGTCACATCTCTAATAGGTATTCGCTATAGTCAGGTGCGAAGTCAAATCTCTAATTGGTTGTTCGCTAAATGAGAGATAACTACGTCAGCCTTATCTCTGACAAGCTTTTTTGAAAAATATTGAAGCGCACGTAAAATCTTTACTTTTTAAATTTTTATTCTGAGCAGTCGGTTGCGTTCGTTGAGGTAGTCTCTTTTCGTCAAGTAGATGAGATATTGCAACGGCGATAATGGCATTTCACGCCCACGCCGAACATTTCGCACGTGTAATTCACAAAACCTTTTCGTATGGACATCATGAGGTTGCCGCAATAGTCAGCGAAGCATTTCCTGCCTCAGGTTTCGGCTTTGCCGAGCAGCACGTACTTGCAGTTATACAACGCACGTCCACCAATCTTTATGTATAAACATAAATATTTTTTTAGTCTAATTGTTTAGCGATCAACATGGTAGCGGCTAGGTCCAGCGCCACGAAGATCAGTTCCTGGTCTTTCTGTTCCTGGGAAGGTGTCTAATACTGCGAGCGGGTGGGTTCGTTGCCGAGAGGTTCGAGTCGTTTGCCAGTGAGCAGGTAGTATTCTTGCATGGCGTCGTCGACGTTCTTGAACATTCTCACAGCGTGGTTTTCGCTCGCGAGTTGGTCGTTAATGAAATCTATTCTCTGTGTGCGTTTTTTTATGTACTCGGCTTGAGCGGCCTGCAGTTCTCCACTGGCGAGCATGTCTTTGGTGGCTGTCGCCAGTCCCAAATCGAAACACGAGCATGCCCATGTCTTGCAGGTTGAAATCGAGTTTGGGTGCTGGTTGTTTGGTGATCATTTTGCTCAATCGAGTGTAGCCTATGGCCAGTACACTGACCACGATGGCGTGATAAGCGTCGTTGACGAACGTTTTTCAATCGGTTGACGAGATTTTTTTATAACATGATGTGAGGGTTTACTTCTAATTGAGGGGCGGGTACCGGTGCCCGGGTCGGTGGTGGTGGTGGTGATGTCTTCGGGTTGAATTTGTACAGCAATACGGTGATGACGGTGGTGATGCATGCTGCCGTCGTTATGGCGTAAGAAATCCATTGACAAGTTTTTTTTCCGCTTTTAAGCTAACTGGCCTTTGCGACCGGTGGCTACTTTTTGGGGATCCTTTTTTCTTCTGGTTAATGTATCAATCACTTGTTGTTGTTATTGTTCCTCCGCCGCCGTCGTCTGTCGTTGCTCGTGGGCAACCTCCACCGATGACATCTTGTACTATGTTATTTTCTTCTTTAAATTGGCAATGCTTTGCCGTGATGATGGCCGCGGTCAACGGAGCTAAAAACATGCCGTACCTGTGGTACAGCACACAGCTGACGGCGCTCAAAGCGTGTTCGATGAACGGATCTTTCTCGAGATCTTCCCACAGGTAAAGTCGACGTTCCGGTGGAATGGGAAGGAAGTAGGAGGCAATGCCGGTGTAGATCTGCGTCATGGCCAACCCTATGGTTTTCGTCATTTTGGTGCCGAGTCTGGCTTCGTATCTCGCGTACAGCTTGTTGATTTTTTCGGCCGACATTTTGCGAATTTGAATCGGGAGTGTGGTCGCTCCCACCCAAATATTGTTTGGCTTTGCCGTCGACCACGAGCGCCACCAGTTTTTCCCGCTTGTCGTTTTTATTATTGTCGTTGTCGTCAAGCGACATTGGTTTGAGAAGTTCATCATACTCCATCTTATAATATGTCAAGCAATGTTTAAGTCTAATAAAATCAAATCTGATGTACGCGAATCACATCGAGATGAAAGTCAAGTTGCACACGACCAGAATTTCGTACATCGTCAACCAAAATTATTCATTCGCTTGAATTTTGCTAGAATTTTGATTAAGCTAGCAGACTTTAGACTCCACGGGTTGGTCGGTTTTCAACAGGAGTTTGGCGTGTTTCGTTTCGGCGAGCTGTTTCTTCACTCGTTCTCGTTCTTGTTTGTTCGGGATCACGTCATTTTCTCGCAAGCACTCCTCGAACGAATCCGTGTCCTTGCAGTGAAACAGGGCGACCCATCGCATCTGTTCCCGTCAGTCTTTCAGCACCGAGTTGAATTTCTGAGTTAATTTACCACCTGGATTTTGAGCTTTCTTGGTGATTTGGATGGTGATCCCCTCACTGCCCCTCGCAACGTCCGCTGCCGTGTAGTCTGTCATCGTCCGTGGATCGCATGTCCAGCCACAATGCGTAATACTTGAACAGGTATTTATGGAGTGTCACATAGGGCAAACCCAGGTCTTTGACGACGTCGTTGACTTCAGACAAGTGTCGCTTGATGGCCCGTAGTTTTTTTTATCTCGTCCCACTGCTGGTAAGCTTGCATGCCTTGACTGAACAGCTGGTTGGGCACGCCCTCGACGGTCACTTCCACTTTTGTGATCTCGGGATTCCAAGTGAGTTCGCTGTCTCTTCGAAACGGCTTGTATTCAGCCACAGGAATGATCAAGATGATCTTTCATCGATCTAGCCGGCACGTTCAGGTTTATGTTCAACAACGAGTCGCTCTTGTCCTTGATGATCGTCTGGTGTCGCAGCACGCGGTCGTACAGGATGGACAGCTTTCCTGAGTACTGGTGGCGAAACTGCAGGGCCAGTTCCATGTTCGTGACCATGTCGAACTCAAGCGAGATGTTGTCGAAGGCGTAGCTGGCTTTGGTGCCGTCCGGCGTGTAGATAACTTTGCCGTAGTCATTGAAAGTGAGTTCGTATTCCAGCCGGTTGCCCAGTGCGACCTGGTCGAACAACTTGCAGTCGAGCGGTATGCAAAACCGATTCCCGTATGACTCGGCTACGGCTTTTTCTCCTTTCGTTATATTGTCGAGCTGATCTGACGTGAAAATGCCGAGGACGATGACGTCGTTTGCGCCTAGGTTGGGGAATCGAACCAGCAGTGTTCGCGGTGAGCGAACTGGCTAAAGCGCCAGGCTAGTGATCCAGCGAGCTTGAGGTGACGGGATCGAGCCCACCTGTGACCGGGTGTAAAAACCTTGGAGTCAACTTTGTGTGCAGACTCCTTCAGTGTTGTCACAACCCCTAGTGTACAGTACACAACCCTGAGCACTTAAAAGAACCCACGAATCCATTGGTATATGACCAGATGGTGGCCACATGAATACGTGCAAACACCCAGTTGGGGGTACAGCAACGTGCAGTAAACTTGGACAAAGTACTGTGACTATGTGTCCCAGTACAGCCAGCTGTGAATGGGTACCTCGTAAGGATGGGAAAGCCACAATAACTTGGTGCGCCTAGTGGCTGCAAGAGTTGTATGCTCCCCAGGAAGTTGAGATTGACAATACGATGTGCAGTTGAGATTGACATCCAGTGAATGAGGGAAAAACAAAGCGCCTTTGAGCAGCTGAGCTGAGGTGGATATCGGCGCTATTCAAATGTGTGTGTGTGTGTGTGTGCGTGCGCGTGCGCGTGATATATGTATGTATGTATGTATGTATGTATGTATGTATGTATGTATGTATGTATGTATGTATGTATGTATGTATGTATGTATGTATGTATGTATGTATGTATGTATGTCTGTCTGTCTGTGTGTATGTAATGCGACATTGTTCATATTGAAACTATGTATATTTTTAATTTAATATAAAAAAATTAAAAATGGCTGGCGATATTCCCATGGCTGATTTAGATGTACACCAGCTGAATGACGACGAGGATGTAGCAGACACCTCGTTCATGGGGGACACCGTGGGCAACGAGCTTTCAAAGCAGGCCGTGGACGAATATTATGATGCTTTAAAGCGCGATAAAAATTACGTCGAACCATTGGGTCGCGACTATCCGAAGTTCAAAATCGGCAACGAAGGGACGCTGCGATTGAAAGCTCATCCAGAGGTCGATCTCATTAACAAACACAGTCGCCGTGGTGGTAGTCGACTGATACGCGATGAACTAAACCTGCGAGATTATGGGGGCGCACGACCAAAACAACTTCCATCGAAGGTCGTCCGAGATCTGCAAAACATAAGGACCGAACTCGGTGGTGGTGCAGAAGCGCCCCAGTGCGCCAGAGAAGCGTTGGACGAAATCGACAAAAATATTGGTCACGTACTCGAATGAACCCTTCCCCGGTTTCGAATTTCCTCTTAGGGAACTTCGGGGTCTAGACGAAGCCTTGAAAAACGTACGCGAGAACTTGTGAACAACATGGGTAAACTGAACGAAATCGACGAGCACATCGCTCGCGAGAAAAGAAAACTCAGGATCGTCATTGACGGCGAAGCCACGAAAAACATCGAGAAAAGATTGCGCGACCTGGAAGACGAGAGACGGACCAGATTGGAAGCCGCTTCCTCCAACCGGGAAGCCCTCCAATCGCAAATCAGCCCCGTGCGCGAAACCATAGATTGAGTCTTGAACGAGGACACCACGTTTGCCGACAGCATCCGAATTCTGTTCCGGGAACAAGAGATCACCATCGCCAGCGTTCTCACAGCTTTGGGCTTCATTGTATCGACCCTGGTCGTGTCGCTGACGGGCGGTGGTGATACACCACCAAGCCCATCATCAGGCAATGTCAGAGACTGGATATAAAAACATTTGAAATCTCTCGGCGAAGTCCTGGCTAAACTCTACTTTTTCAATATGTACGCAACGCTTCCGGGATCACGAGCAGCGAGCCCGTTCAACTGCTGTACGCCATCGATAACACGTCAGGTCAGCTCGAAGTCACGCTTTGCGACATCACCTACTATCCGCAATGGACCAACCGCAACCAATTAACATACGGCTTCTACAGCGTGTGCTCGCTCAACGATGAAATATTCAAACCCGTGGGAGCCGAACTCAAAATGAACGTCTCAAACGGCACGGTTGTGCTGATCAACAACAGAGAAAACACTTTGAGACTCAGCCAGCCGTTGACTAAAACACTCGGGTTTACGTTCAACGTAATACAACCGAAAACCACCATGACCGGTATGAAATTACCCGAACTAGTTCCGTACCGCGAACTGTACATTCATCTCGATCAGCTGACCGACAACGTTCAAGGCGAACGACATTCGACGCTGCTGAGAGCTGTGCCGGTGAAAACGGAAAAGTACAACGTTGGTAGAACCGAATCGTTTTCGCTGCGGCAGTACAAGAAATTAAGCCAAGGCACCATCACGGAATTAAAATAATTGGTTTTAGACATTAAACATAATCCAGTTAATATAGGATACCTGAGCATGACGCTGCACCTACGCAAAAGACAATGACCGAAGCTTCGGGTCCGGGAACGACCATGCGACCGGGAAAATGTCATACCATCGAGCTCTCCGACCTCAGAGACACACACGGATTCGACGAGCCCGGAATTGAGGGCAAACTGTACGCATTGCAACTGAAAAAGCGCATTTACAAACGCGTCGAACTGCCGCCCTTTACTGACGGCGGTGGCAACAACCTAGGCAATTTCGTTGATACCGAAGGAGCGGTCAACAACACTCGGTACGACCTGATACGCAACGATAAGGACAAATGGGCGATTACCACAGCCTTCCGCGGCAGGCTGTTCCACCTGGATGACGTTGAGACCACGGCTGTCTCCAGAAACACGCAGTACACTCTCATCGACTGGAATCGACTCCACACGTTTTCATGAACAACAAAGATCACTACCTGACGAAAGTCGTGAACAACAGAATGCTGCTCGTGGCTTACGTCCCTACGCAAAGACGCAGCGTGATTGTCAGCACGTTGAGGCAAAGAATAGCCCACATGCTGTTGCGCAAACCCGGAATGAAAAACGTGGGATTGCAGATGGTGTCGGAATTTGACAGCATGGTATCGGTCCTGGAAACTCTACTGGCAAAATCAAAGCTGTACATCCAAGTCTACCTCGGCGCGTAAGGTCATCGAAATCATGAAAGGGATCAAACTCCGCTCGGCCAAATAACAACAATACAAAGTTTGCTCCGTTTACGTGCGGGTGAACGTTAACGCCTACACCAGTCTGCAGGGAGTCACCGTGGCCGTGGAAGACACAATATCGCTCACCAAAATTTGCCTACTCAACAACATACATCTCATGGGTTTGAAGTGCACGTCCCATGAATTATCCGATAACCAATTGAAAACTATTTCGTAATACATCATATATAAACGAGATGAACCATCATCATCCCAGCGTAACGCTAGCCGATCTCGGAGACACGCGGGGATTTGATCTGCCCGGCGTGGAAAACACCTTGTACGTCCTGCACTTTAAAGACAACATATACGATCGGGTGTCACTAGCAGACTTCAAACAGCCAGACTGGTTGATCGACATGACCCTCACCTCACCCCACATATCTTTTAAAAACAATGGTTACGTCTCCAAAATTACAAACAACGGGATCCTTCTCACGATTTTCACTCCAGAGTTTGAGTACAAGTTTTAAGAATACCAGGTCACACGGGCAACATGTTAGCTTCAAACGATGTGGCCTCATATTTACGGTTTGACGTACCCGATTACCAACGGGATTTTTTTCAATTCAAATTTGACTATCAAATCACACACCACGCTCGTAGTAGATGTCTATCTCGCTGACACTCATGGGAGGTCAGAACGAACACTTTTGACTGGGTTGATAATACACTGGTTAGACAGACACGATCACCAACGGTGTCGTATCGTCATAAGACCAGGATCGACACCCTTAATAAACCTCAATGGAGTGCGTGTTAAAGATCACATATACTCTAGGGGGGTACAAATACATAAATCACTAACTGGCATCGCTATAAATGAAACCCCGTCATTACAACTACTGACTTCGGTCTTTAAATAACTTAAAACGACCTTTTTGACAACAGTGCACAATTCTCACCCGCGAACGAAATTTCAACCAATGAGAGCGGGGGCGTCTCTGTGATGTCATATGAGGAATAGATATGAGGGCCGATGCAGAATTCATCTACATTTCAGGGGGTAAATTATCTTGTTTACAGGTTTGTATAAACCTGAAATCGTGACAACTGTTGTGGAAAATGAAAGCTATATGTTCTCACAATCTACTGTCTTTTAATTTTGTCTGCTGCTTTGCCTAGTTTCCGAGTTACAACTTGTTTTCATAGACGATTCTGTCAAAATCGCTTGGTGTCGTTAGGCCTGATCCAAATTGATCCTATTTCTGTGTTTTTTTACCTTGAAATTTAATCATGTCACGTACAAATCTGTTTGTATTCTCAAAACAGTGTCGGCCCATAAGTTTTCACATGCAATACAGCAATTAATACTCCCTTGTTGTAACCTGTGTTAGGTGGTATAACCCTACACATGTTATTTGTCATCATTCACTTGATGGTCAGCTAATGAATTTATAACAGGTATAATTTGTGGTAACACACTTAGATTACCCGACAAAGGTTCCCATTTGGCATTTCTTGTGTCTGGAGTAAATATTCAACATTATAAACATCGATCAAAGGATTAACCGATAACACGCTGATTGATTAATTACTTTTATCTTACACAGCGGATTTGTCAAAAGGTAGTATTTATGTATGTAGCTAGATTTACTAATCTATACTGAATACACTCTGTCGTGTCGGTGTCTGCGTAAAAACAACGTCCTTCTTTCAAAGGATTAACCGGCAATACATTGATTGATTGCCCATTATTGGCTAACTAAATTACTGTTTTTAAAGAAAGGTGGACATTATGCAATTAGTTGCCAGGTGTGCTATCTTGGGTGACCAATGAGACTATACACCAATGTGAAATACCTGAAAAGATTATCACTTTTTCGTATATTAAACTTAAAAGACAGACACATCACTTGGAACAGCTGCAGATGAATGGCATATCACTCGTTTTTGTGGATATTGATGGATACATTCATCGAACAAGGTAATAGCCTGACATTGTTCCTATAACTTGAATCTGTTTTAGTTTTAATATTTGCATTTTGTTTTTATTCATTTGTCGTAGCATTCAACAGAATCATTGTTTTCGCTGTGAAGTGTAATGAGACAGACAACATACACTAGGGTGTGTGTGCGAATTATGATTCACATTGGAAAACTATAAAATGTCTAGATATTACAGTTCTTTTATAAATTCACTATACGTATCAGCAGATCGTCTGCTTTTTATTTAGTTTCAAAATGCATACAAGTATGATAATAAACTAATTAGGATTATAAGACCAAATATAAAGACGCACATTGACTAGTATCTACATACTGGTGAGTGGACGTTAACCACGAGAATGTAGCAAGAAATTTATCGCGCAGTATTGTGACTTCGACCCCCACCTCGCTTCCGTGGAAGAAATCGTTATAAGTTGTGTCATGCAAAATCCTTTTGGTTATGATTCCAATACATATTTAACTACGAGTAGAAAGTAGTTTTAATTTTAATGTTACTTCGACTACAACCTCGCTTCCGAAGAAGAAATCGTTATGTTACAAGTTGTGTCATGGAAAATCTTTATGGTCATCAATCATATACATATTTTACTACAACTAGTAAGTAGTTTTGATTCTTTAACTTCCGTGAAGTGATCTGAACACAAGTAAGATATCGTTTCAGGCTTCCACAACGCTCGCTTCGCACTCATAAACATAACCGATTTAGCACGAACTGCGGGGTCCTGTGGAAATCTGTGCATGGTGACACCATCGCCCGACCCCTAGGAGCAATTGACGACAAAGCAACGATTCGGCATGTCGTTGTTGATGTCGAGAAATCATCAAAATGATGAGCGTGCTACACACTTTCTATACAACTAACTGAAAATCGTTCCTCATATGACATCACTGCAGTGCTCTGGCGACAGAGTTACGTAACCTGTCTGTGGTTTCGTTGGCGGGTGAGAGTGAAGCAGGCGACTTTTGGGCGACTTTTAATCGCTCGGTATTAATTAACCACAAGTTTTTTAAGAATGAATTTGGTGTTCCGCTTAAGTCTAACCACAAATCTTTCATATGTAATAGTTAAAAGAGTACAAAAAAAACAAAGTTTATTTGTTCTTTAAAGTAAAAAAGATTCATGTCTCGAATATTTACGTGTACGATAATCTAAACCTTATCAGCCTCAAAAACATCGATCGGATATTAACGGAAAACCAATTAAATATTATTTTATAAAAAATATATATATATACACACACACACAAGATGGGACTATACCTAGTCGTGGATGAAGTATTAAAAACACTGGAAACCTTAGACAGGTTTCGTTTGCGACAGATATGTGAGATCAAACAACAACTTGAACGTGAACGCCATACGCGGTCGGCATTACAGAAAAAATATCACAGGGCCGTCAATTCTGTCGACGGTGTTGACAGCGTTCTGGTTTCAGTCAGCATGGGATTAGGCGTAGCAGGTATCGGGTTATTATCCACCATCGTGGCCCCACCCGTGGTGCTAGACATCAAAATAACAGCCGAAGTGGTAGGGTTGATGGGATTGAACCTTAGGTACGTGTCTCGCAGACTGCAACGTAAAGCATTGAAACACAACGAAATTAGAATTCTAGCCAAAGCGAAGTTAAACATGATAGACGATCATATTTCCACCGCGCTCACCGACTCAAAAATCTCCGAAGAAGAGTTTCGTTTGGTGCTGTCAGAAATCACAAAATATCACAGAATGAAACAAGAGATTCGGACCAAGTCTCGAAAAAACGCCGTCATTTGTGAAGACGAGAAAAAAAATTTCATAGAACAAGGGAAGCAACAAGCCTGACAAGCCTTCCTTACGAAAACCAAACAAATTATTATCCGAGGAGATTCATGATAAATTGCTTTCAAACTACACATCATAAGTCAGCACCTCAACCGATCACGCTACCGGGGACTTGTTAGATGCGTGTCAGTTTAATGGGTCTATCCTGAGATTGCATCATCCTCCTAAACTGGGCTCTGTCTATAGAAATGCAAAGGATGTCTTGAAAACGTTTTATAAGCTGAGCGCACCAGACTTCTAGAAACAGTTTATCACAAATTCTACTTCAGCTTCAAATATTTCAGAAACTATTCGACCGATTTTCGTCAAATTTTGCATGCAACTCAGTAGTAGTATAGACAATGATGGTACGGGATCAGGGCCTTCCCAAGGGCTCAATTTTTTAAATTGAGCCCTTGGGAGGGGCCTGTTCCCGTACCATCATTGTTTATACTACTATTATCGTTAAACGTGAGTTCGTATTCCAGCCTATCACCCAGCGCGTGACCCTCCAGTAGTTCGAAGTCGAGTGGAATGCAAATTCAGTTCCCGAATGCCTTGGCTATAGCCTTATGCCCGCTCGGCATAGCGGTGAGATCGGCTTGTTCAAAAGCATACCCCATGCACAACCGAGTTGACACACAATTTGCTGGACATGGTATTTCATGTTTTCCCATTCGCTCGCAGTTCTCCAGAGGTCCGTGTAACTGAAAAACACATCGCTGTCGTCGATGATCAGGATTTCATTCCCGCATATGTTTTATTGTTCGCCATGATTTCGCCACGTCCCTGGGATGATGACGTCGTTCACACCCAGATTAGGAAAGTGCACCAACTGCGTTTGGTTTTTATCGATCATACTCGGATTATTGGTGGTACATTAAGTATGCATTAGAGTCAGACTTTGAAAACAAAATCTAATGTGTGAGGAACTGCTGATCAAAACGCACTATTCATATTTATAATGAAAGGTTACATTCTACACGGAATTTCTTCAGGGATGTGTAATAATTACAGATTTGCGATAAAGGCCTTCCAGGGGATACAGGTCCATTGGTTGGAGGTGTATCTCCGATTCTTTTTACATTGAGGTTGGTGGTAGTGTTACCTGAGAGTGTCCGGGTGTTATACCCTTCTCCCTAGGCAATCTGTCTATCCACTCTTGTTCTGGGGATAATGTAACTAAGATGGATAGTCAAAGATAAGTCCGGTGTGTTGTTCAAGTCCATTTATTTTGGAATGAATTCTCACACAAAGGTCCTCAGATATTGCCTAGTTTTCCTGGTCTACACACAACACTGATTCATGAATTTCCTGGAAGAACTTGATTCCTTGAACAACTCCTAATGCTATAAGTTCATCTGAGCCATTCTCTCAATATAGAGAGAGAACCTCTCAAGTCAACGGTGGGGCCCAGAATCGTGCACCCTTTTCCAAACAAGTGACAAAGTACAATTCCTGTCAATTTTGGCTCCTCCCCCTGAAATAATGTCCTACGCCATATAAAAATGATATTCCAATTACAAATGCGATACATCTCTCCAAAAATAAACAAAGTGCCAGTTTTGAAGAACTAACTTTGTTGTATTCTGATCCAATGTGACATTTAAAGAGGCTCTATTAAAAGTTTGTATCATAACTTATTTAATTGAGCGTCAATACATGCATTCTCTCAGAATTTCATATAGTTTTCTTATATCTTATGAATAATATATGAACTGTCTAAAATTGAAAAAAAAAAGGATTCTCACAATAAGAAAAGCCTCTTTTAATGGTCTTGGTACTGTAGTAGGGTCATTTTCTGTCACCAGCTTAAAAAGAAGATGGCAAACTGCTTTTCTTTTTTTTTTTCTTTTTCGCCTGCCCGCCCCTCATCAGCACCAGTTTGGAGATGAGAAACATAAAAAACAAGAAGACAAAGTCATCAATATCCCCCGCAATGGCAAAATACTCTTCATGATTATGTCTACGAGTTATGATTATGTCAAATATTTAGGTGTGTTTATAGAAATATTTAGGTGTGTATATAGAAAAGTGGAAGGAGAGTATTGAAAGGTTTTTAAAGTTCTGCTCCAGAAAGCAGCACTATCACCAATTTCAGTCAAACTTGTTGCCATGGAAACACCAAAAATATTTTATTCAGAATTCCAAAACTACCAAAAGGCACCAGTACACCACCAGACCAATCTATGTGCCAAGTTTGGTGAAGAAACATTGAACGGTTTTAGAGTTCTGCTCCGGAAAAGAGCACTACTACAATTTCAGGCTAAGTCAAACTTGTTGCCATGGAAACGCCAAAAATATTTTATTCAGAATTCCCAAACTACCAAAAGGCACCAGTACACCACCAGATCTATCTATGTGCCAAGTTTGGTGAAGAAATATAGAAAGGTTTTAGAGTTCTGCTCCGGAAAAGAGCACTACCACCAATTTCAGTCTAAGTCGAACTTGTTGCCACGGAAACGCCAAAAATATTTTATTCAGAATTCCAAAACTACCAAAAGGCACCAGTACACCACCAGATCTATTCATGTACCAAGTTTGGTGAAGAAATATTGAACGGTTTCAGAGTTCTGCTCCGGAAAAGAGCACTACCACTAATTACAGTCAAAGTCGAACTTGTTGCCATGGAAACGCCAAAAACATTTAATTCAGAATTCCAAAACTACCAAAAGGCACCAGTACACCACCAGATCCATGTATGTGCCAAGTTTGGTGAAGAAATATTGAACGGTTTTAGAGTTCTGCTCCGGAAAAGACAAATGTGCACGGACGGACGGACTGACGGACGGACGCACGGACGGACGGAGTCCATTTTAATACCCCCCGCAAAACGCGTTGAGGGGGATAAAAATGTGGATGGCCTTATGATACCATAGGGCGAAAGGAAAATCTTGCTCCTCTTTATCGTGACTAAATTCGAAATCGATGATAGAGGGATACTGCGACTGAAAGATGGTCCGGACCTCAATCTCATGAATTCTCGAACGAGAAAACCTCTCGCCTTGTTCAGTCTCCACGGTGCCCACTTTATCCGCGACAAATTAAATATAGTCAGCTATGGACAAAATATTTCCGCGAAGACTGCCAAGGTTTTACAAACAGTGCGGACCGAACTGGGTGCCACGGCAAGTGCGATTGACCGAAACGATGATTTGAGTGGCGTGCCGCAACATGCTCAAGAAGCTTCCAACGGGCACGACGACATATTGTCAACCTTAAACGATACCCCATTAGAAACACCAGAGCTGGAATTTACCATTCGGGAACTGCAAGGGCTAGTCAAGGCCTTGTGAACCCTTCGTGGATCGCTCGTGTATAACATGGTCAAACTGAAAGAACTCGACGATCGTATCGCTTACGAGAAAACAAAACTCGAACAAGCGGATGATGACGATGACAAGCTCAGCCGACGTCGGATCGAGGAAAGGCTACGTCAATTGCAAGACGAAAGATCGACCTGATTAGAAACGGCGTCGTACAACAGAGAAGCACTTCGATCCCAAATCAGCCACATTCGCAAAACCATCGAACAAGTCCTCCACGAAGACACCACGTTAGCCGAAAGGCTTAAAACGTTATTCAAAGAACAAGGGATCACCATTGCTAGCCTATTGACCGCACTCAGGTTCATCATATCAACTTTAGTTGTCTCTCTGACTGGTGGTACGACTCTGAGTCCCACACTTAGCCCCACACCGCCTAGTGGCAAGAAAGGTGTTAAAGAATGGATCGAACAACACTTAAAATTTCCCTGGGGAAGCCCTCGCGAAACTGGCGGGGAAAGCCGCAGAAGCCCTTCCGGGTTTCCTAGGCAGTATCGTCTCCTGGGCCTAGATTTTCGAAGCTCTCATAACTAAGACAGGTCGTAAGAAGTTATGTCAACAGTTAAGATAATCTTAGCGCGACCATAAGAGAGATTTTCGAAACGCTCGTAAGTCCGTTGTAAGGTCAAGCTAGATACGACAGCTGTCGTAAACCGTATCCAGGGAATCCCCGATGACGTCACTGAATTCCCCTATGTAAATATAGCAGACGTCAACATGGACACCAAACGTACCGAAGTGGCCGAAAACACCTGCGTGAAAAGAGCCAGGAAAGCCAACTGGACGGCCTCCTCGAGATGGAGATTTTAGTCTCGAGGTCGGTCGTCTCACGCGCGTGCTCTTTTCGAGTTTCGAAGTTTTAGCAGCACTATGAATCTAAAGACCAAACGAAAATGCTGGGAGGAGGTGGTCGAGAAGTGAGTTGTTTTATTGTCCGCGACCGTGATAATGATTAGATTTATCCGGTTTAAATTAAGATACAGTTTGTAATGTGTTATAAAGTTAAATACTGCTAATTAATATCACGTTACTATACATGTAATGATGGAAACATACAAGTAAAAAAAATATCATAGATGAGTAAAACACACTGCCCAATAAGTTGGCAATAACAATATTGACAAATTCATGATATTGGTTTCAACTTACCGTAGGAAATAGTGTAGGGTATATATATGGCTGAGTTTCTTTCCTACCTTAACTCGTACACAGTATAAAAGTAATATAATTTTATAAAGGTTTTCCTATATATTAATTATTTAAAGGTAGCTCTTTCGGAAAAGTGGTATTTCATGTAACATTTTTTGGGTAGTTATTGAAATTATGTTGATGCTACTAATCTGCTAAGTTTTCACCAATATGTCCTGTTTCTCATTTAGAATAAATGCCAACAGCTCTGTAAAGAGAGACTGGGTGGAAATAAAGAAAAAGTGGACTGACATGAAGTAAGTGAAAACATGATGTTTATTGAATTGACAATGGAAATAAGAACTTGATTAATCAATGTGTAGGCCTACTGTTATTAAATTTAATAAGTACATAAATGTCAGATGAATCACTGATTGCCAAAGCTTCAGTTATTTTGATTTGTGCACATACTACAATGTGGAAAAATAAATTATTGAATAACATATAAATTTCACTTATGAATATGACACTTCAGAATAATTGATTAAATTAAATTTCGCTCTAACAAAGAAGCCAGACAAGGAAGCGGGCAGCTCACTGTAGGCGGGAGAGAGTGAAGACAGGAGGAGGGCAGGCTTCTGTGTTGGAGCTGAATAGTCTGGAGGAAATGGTAATAATAACCATTAATAACAGTTGAACCATTAATGATGTCATATTAATTATTTACTTCTTATATTAAAGTTATTGGTCTGATATAGAGTTACAAAACATATCACACAAAAACAAAGTTACAATTTCAAATGAGACTTGATATAAATCAGAGTGATCCCTTCATTTATGTTATAATATTTATTTAACAATTATTATTGAATTATTTGTCTCTATTTCCCTTTACTAGGTGGCGTCTCTTATTCCAAATTGCCAGCTCGAAGGCTGTTAGGGAGGCCTGGAGAGTGAAGAGTAAGTTCATGTTGCAGTAATTCAGTATAGCAGTAAGTTATAATTATATGAAATTTAAACAGTATAAGACTCAACATAGAAAGATATGATAGAAATCTATTGTAACCACTTTTAACATTTATAAATGAAATGGAACTGTCCTATGAAAAAAATAACATGCAACATCTACAATATAAAAGGGATTTGAAAATGACTTTGCTTAAGTACTAACATTACCAACATTAGATGTTAACAATATCTCCGTTATTGTTTTTGCAGGTGTGACTCTATCAGAGGGCATTGCTATCTGCTTTGGAATCTACTTTTGGATGATAGAATACATTAATTGTGAACATAGAGCAAAATGAAGGATGAAATGGTTACATATAAATCAATTCTCTGTGTTTCTGCCCCAGTTGAGAAACCAAAGGCACATAAACAGCTTCCACCATGAGTGGTAGGTTATTCGAGTAATATTGTTCATGTAAATATAATTTTTCAATAATTGCATAGGCTTTCAAACATTGTCAATATAGATCCACATTCTTTATTTTGTGAGTGAATTAATACAGATTTGGGAAAATGTTTCATTACCTTTTAATTATCATTGAATAACATAAGAGTTGATAATGTAGTATCATGTAATGAAAGTTTTGACACATCAAATTGATCAAGTCAATTAACTTATGTCATTCTTCCATAACTTAGAAAATATGGAAGAATTTATAATCATATTATCTCAATATATAATACATTTTTCAGTATCACCAAAGGGACAAATCATCTCCATTGAGGAGAAGAAGCTGGAGGTGCTGGCTTCCCTTCTTGACACTCAGAGTGAGCTGCTTAGTGTGGAGAGGAGGAGACTGGCAGTGGAGGAGGAGAAGCTGGCTCTTCTGAAACAGATGAACACATGTCCGTCTGATTTCTCGCCAATCATTAAATTTTATTAAATGATTAAAGCTCAATATTATCTTTAACAGGATACTGTTTTTAATATTAAAAGTGACGAGGTCCCTCAGATTTAAATTCAGAGGGTTATGGATCCTTTATATATTATACACTATTTTTTAGGCATAGGGTAACAGAGTATGACAAATAGTCTTTGTGCTTAGCTTACATCGACATGTATTTTTAGCAAATACATTTTCAATGAGCTGCTGGGAAAAGTATCGTTTCATTGCATTTGATTTTCATTGAATTTTATTGAGAAAACATGTAGTCGTACCGCATGTCAGGGTCACAGATGGCCTGTATGTTGATTGCGTGATAGCCCTTCCGACACACGTAGGCGACCTCTTCATTTGCAGGGGGACGTCTGATGGCCACTACAGTCCCGTCGATACAGCCAAGCACATTCGGAAAGGCGAATTTCCTGTGAAACTTCTCTTTTATTTGTCTCAACGAAGACCAGTCTTTGGGAAACTTGATCAAATCAAGGACTTTACAAAGTTGTTCAATAGTGTTTCTAATCGCAATCGATACGCTGGATTGCACAATGCCGTGCATATCTGCCAGCTCAGACTGGAAACTGCCTTTGGCAAGAAAGCAGAGGGTAACCATCACCTGTATTTCAGGTGAGAGGGGCACCGAACGCTGGGTCTTCCGAACCAAACCAGCCTCAACAAGAGATACTAATTTAAAGATAGCATGACGAGGCATTCTATAACGAGAGATCAGTTCATCGTCGTCCAACTTGTCTAACTTACGCGAACGGTCGCGGAAAATCCGGGGTTTTCTGTAAACTTCATTAAGATTATCTTCACAATCAAACCCAAGACCAATGTAGGTTGTCATCTTGAATAAGGTGTAATTACGCGCAAAATCTAGACCCAGGTTGTTAGGATTCTTATCGGAAACAGTCACATGGTTGAGTCAAAGCTTGTGGGCGTTCGTCATCGCCGTGGCCAGATGTTGTACGTTTTTATCCAATAACACACAATCCGACAGCAATTCCACCAACCACGAGCGCTTTTTTACGATCGATGTGTTGCTGATTTTCGACCACCGAGCGTGGGTGGTGTGACGCGACTCACATTGATATCGGGGTTGACGCCTAGTGTCTGATCGCTGGTCGCTATGACGATTTCGTTATTGTATCCCACCACTTTATGGAGCCTCAGTTGCATGTTGCTCGGAGCCATGTACAACCCTACACCGAAATCGTGGTCGACTTTAGACCGGGCATCTTGCAACATGTATTGGTAACGCTTGATGGTTGTCGGTAAATCCACCGGAGATGCTATGGCATCTTCGACGTTCACCACAAATTGTTTCTGCACGCCGTAAGCCGTTCCCTTACCGATGATACTGGAAAGCGTTTGCGCCTGCGCACCGAGAATTGCCCATATGCACGTTCGAATGGAATCGTTCAGTCTGGCAACACCAGGACGAGAAAACCCTTTCGACGTAACCAACATAAATACTTTCCAATCGTCTTCAATGTAGAGGGGTTGCTCGACATTTTTGACGATGAAAGCAATGTCGCCTGTAAAATCCATACGATCATCTCGCCATTCATTACCCGACAGAGCAAATTCTGGTCAAAGATAACCTCGTTTAAGCAAATAATCACTGAACTCTTTCACTGTTACTGGTCCACTGTATATATTTTTAGGGACGAGGTTTGAGAATACCCTGAAAAAATTACCAGAACTTAACATATGGTGAGTTATAATGTTTATCACTATATCTCTTCGTAATGCTTCTATGGGAAGTCTATCTGTGTATGTAGGATTGTTCGATGCATCCCACGCCTTGTCCTGTGGAATCGGTACGCTTATTTCTTTCAGGATGCGCCTGATCTAGTAGTACACGTGAAACGAGAACACTGACTGACTCAGCGGATCGCGAGGAGTGTCGTTCAAGGTCACACCGCACCCCGTTGTTGCGCACCACACAGCGAAATTGACTTGATTTTGCCAGAATTGCATCAGGTTTGAAAAACAAGCGTGTACTGCCTCAACACTTGAGACCGAAAGCCTATACTTTTTAAATACAGTCATCCCTCGCAATAACGCTCTTTGCGATACCGCGGATTCGGTTAAACCGCGGGGTAATATGTGGCTCCCATTAAAAAAGTTGCCCAGCGATCACACATCTTCACGTCATCGAAAATAGCACATCAACAAATCCCCTGTTGAGCTCTGGTTAATCACGTTGTAAACTAGTGAAATTCAGTGCAGATTGCAATCAACAGTGTTTATCATACATATCCATGGTTCTTCAGATGCTTAAAACATGCAGGGTTTTCTCAATAATAATCAGACGAACAGCGAAACATCACATTTTATTTAATTAAATTCAATCCCATTTTTATTCATTAAAACTGTTTACAGTAACAACGAAGAAACCGTGAGTGAAATGGAATTACCTCATTTCATACAAGTTCCGCTTACCACATTCGTGAGGGTCCGTTTTTCGAGCCTACCGCGATAGCACCAATTTCACATTTTTCTCAGCAATCACAAACGGATTACAGCCTCGTCATCCATGGACTCATTGAATTCATATTTGACAATTAATTGCCAACATTTTGTTTTTACAATCAAAGTGGCACGTACCGCCAGTTTTTACAATCAAAGTGGCACGTACCGCGGGAAGTCAGCAGTGACTTGTCAAAATGTCTCATACGCAAAATGTATCCAGCCAGGTAACCCAAAGTGCTTAGCCTATGTTAATTATTATGTTTAATATGTTCGCAGAAAACATGCATTATACTTATACGATAGCCGTATATGATATCTCTGTAAAAATAACTGCTTAAGATATAAATTATTCTGATAATGGAATAGAAATTCTTTGATGCTATGTTATTGGATCATTTTTAACTGAATCACCGGTACATTGGACCAAAACATCTGTGCACAGCTGAATGCTATTTCCGGCTTAGTTGAATAACAGGTAGCATTACAGGAGTCTAGTGATGTTTGATTGCAAGGTTCCTGTACATACATCTATTTTCATTTACAAAGTTTGTTTTTTTCACGTCCAACAATACGATATAGTTTCGACAGGGCACAATACACGAAATAGCAGTTTTGTTATGCCCATGGAAAATATGATTTTACTTGGCCTTTGATCCGCGTTATGTAATAGTTACTATAACGCGTGGGGTCATCCATGGACCCCAAGACCCGCGTTATGGCGAGGGATGACTGTACATTGATAAATCGAGCTCAAAAATGGGAACCATCCGCATCCACCACAATCTTCATTTGCGTGGGATCAGTAGCGGTTACGTGATCACTTTTAGGATAAATCACTCACGGTGTGTGCTCGGGGACACGCGAGGATTTGATCAACCCGGTACAGAAAACGCCTTATATGTATTTGCACTTACAAAACAATGTATACAAACGACAAGAAGTGATAATCTAATCTCAATTGAACTGGATAATCAATATTATCCTTACCTACGTAACAGCATTACCAGATCAAACAGGTAATATGTTAGTCACCCGTTCGGAAAACAAATATAAATGGTTAAGTTTAAAAACAAATACTGAAAACCCAGCTACGTGGCACAAAATTATACAAGGTTCTACACTTATTATTGAAGTCTTTCTAGGATATGCCCCTGCAGAAGATTTGAAAATTCTGGATGGGTTACAATCAATATAAATGTTGTCGTATTTATATACAACCAGGAAAAGCCACCTCTACAAGCCTCGATGATATCATGATTCTTCAGGAGTGTACCACTGCACTTGACTACATTTATTTATCCGAGCATATGTACCTAATCAGCTTCAAGTATATTCATGAAATATTGTCGGAGGACCAATTGAAGCTTATTTCCTAACCTATATTGAACTGGATAATCAATATTATCCTTACCTACCCCTATCTTGTCATGTATGATGATTGTAATGTCATCGAACTAAAAAATAATGGGGTTCTACTAGAAAGTTATATAACTCTAGAAAACATGACGTACGTAACAGCATTACCAGATCAAACAGGTAATATGTTAGTCACCCGTTCGGAAAACAAATATTAATGGTTAAGTTTAAAAACAAATACTGAAAACCCAGCTACGTGGCTCAAAATTATACAAGGTTCTACACTTATTATTGAAGTCTTTCTTGGATATGCCCCTGCAGAAGATTTGAAAATTCTGGATGGGTTACAATCAATATAAATGTTATCGTATTTATATACAACCAGGAAAAGCCACCTCTACAAGCCTCGATGATATCATGATTCTTCAGGAGTGTACCATTGCACTTGACTACATTTATTTATCCGAGCATATGTACCTAATCAGCTTCAAGTATATTCATGAAATATTGTCGGA